GTAATTGTTTCGTATTTGTTTCGTATTGTTTTGTAATTTACTAAATTTCGTAAATATCGAACTTTTTAAAAGAAAATTTTCGGAATTCTTTTAAAAATCGAAACGCAAAACCCCCCAAAAACGAATCGGTTTTAGAAACAATTTTTTTCCGTGGTTGCCCAGCCCTACTGACTGGCACAACCTGGGGAATGTGGAAAGTGGAATCCACAACATGCGAGTGTGGAGAAGAGCAAACCACTGACCACCTGCTGCAATGCAACCTGAGCCCCGAGCCCCGCCACCTGCACAATGGAGGACCTTCTTGCAGCAACGCCAGATACTGGTCAAAGGACATTTAATCAACTACCAAGCTTGCAAATTCTGTTTTGTCTGTTTGTTAAAAATTTGTTAAAATGTAATACAATTGTCTGGTTGCTGACATGATAAATAAATAAATATATCACAACAATGAAAATATTTTTTAAATTCAGCCAAGACAGATTTCCCATTGTCTTTTTAAGCATTGTAGATAAAATTTTACTTTTAACAGTTATAATTTTTCTTATAGGTGGAAGTTGCAGATGAGCAAAGCTAGAATGGAACGTTTCAAGCATTCAAAAGTTCTTTGAATGTGTTTTTCCTGCTTCTTGGCAGAATGGGATGGCCCATGAGATCTTTTCCAACTCTATGATTCTATGATTCTATCTGCTGGAGATGAATGTGGGAGTGGAAGGGAAGAATTTGGCAGTTGATGACAGTTGGTTGGAAAAGACCAGCAATTCTGTTTTGGAATTGTTATAGTCTTTATTTTATTTTTCCTGTGAGAAAAGAGTGTGTTTGATAGGCTTTACTGCCGATCATATTTCATTTTAATTTTACTCTGACTCAGAGCGAACAGCAGAGACGCAGAGATGTCTGAATGTAAGTCCAGCAGGAAGACTGAGAAAGTATATGATCTCTGAGATTTTAACATCCAGGGGCATTTATTTGATAACGTAACAAAGAGAGAGGGAGGTTACTTTTAAATGTTACTAGTTATAATTCCAAAGCCAATTTTGTTGCCGTTATGATTCTTTAAAAAAAAATAATGTTATGCTTCTCATAAATGGCTATCTATAGTGGTTAATTTTAATTATTTCCTTAAAATTTCTAAACAGTTTAATTTAAAACCAAAAACATGAATACATTTGGATAAAAATCAATAAGACCTCAAAGAGTTTTTTTTTCATGTCAGGAGCAACTTGAGAAACTGCAAGTTACTTCTGGTGTGAGAGAATTGGCCATCTGCAAGAATGTTGCCCAGGGGGTGACCAGATGTTTTGATGTTTCAGTATCCTTGTGGGAGGCTTCCCTCATGTCCAAAAAAAAAAAACCATTGTTGGATACAAGAAGCCTCTAGGACAGTGGCTCCCAAACTGTGGTCCAAGAACCACCACAAGTATGAAAATATGGTCCACGGCCTCACCATTACTACACAGTTGCCTCAAAACCAAGCAGCAACAAGAGCAACTGGTCTCACGAAACCCTCTTATAGTGCCAAGGCAACGGGGATGTCGGGAGGGGAGAGGCTGACTACCCACAAAAGATTACTACTACCACATCAGCTCTAGATTATAAAATATGGTTTTCTTCAGGCAAGCAGATGGCAACTACTGGATGGTATATGTTCTGTATGAGAAACTAGAGTTGATGTGGTCTATCCAATGCAATTTTCTGAATCAAAATAGCCAAACCAAATCTAAAGTTGACCAAAAACTGATTCGGAACCCTTTGGGTCCTAATGTTGGAGAGTGGTCCCTGGTCAGAGTGTTCCTGGTCAAAAAAAGGTTGAGAACCACTGCTCTGCGGGGGCATCTACACTGTCAAATTAAAGTGGTTTGACACCACTTTAGCTGTACAATACATTCAATTTTGCCATCCAAAAATCTACACTGTAGAATTAATGCAGTTTGACATCACTTTACCAGCCATGGCTCAATGGTGTGGAATCTTCGGAGTTGTAGTTTGGTGAGGCACCTGCACTCTTTGGCAGGAAAAAAACCCATGGATGTTGGGATTTGCAGTACAACAACATCTGGAGGGTCATATCATTCCCACCTCTGCATTTAGAACTGCATCTACATTGCAGAATTAATGCAGTTTAATACGACTTCAACTGCTATGCATCTATGCAACAAAATCATAGGAGTTGTAGTTTTCCAAGGTTTGCCAAAGAGTGCTGGTGTTTCACAGAACTACAGCTCCCATGGTTTCACTGAATTGAGCCACGACAGTGGAACTGATGTTGAACTGCATTAATTCGACAGTGTAGATACACTCCTGTGACTTACTATAAACATGCATAAGATGGGACTGTTAGTATGCTGCCTGGATGTCATCTGTTTGTACTGCTGATTGCTAGATTTAATTAGGATTCACTTAATTCAATTACTGTTGCTTCTTCGGTGACACAGCTTTTCTGTAAACAACCAATAGAACACATGATATTCTTCGAAAAGGCTCTCTTTCTATTAGACACCTAATTTTAGAAGACATCCAAATTTACAATAAAACAATTTAGAAGAAACCCAAAATTACAATAAAACAATCAGGACATGAATTTATTATATGCAAAGCAGCTTTTGCTGACTTGCATTTGCATGAGAGTTGGGAAGGAAAAGGGTGGCACACAGAGCTGGGTTTTATGCACTTTATGTGTCAATAACCCAGGTAGGATATAACTAGATTAACTCACTAAAATCGTATTATGATAGAAGCATTTAGACCCGCTGCCACTGTTGGGAAGCTCAGAACGATATGAAATATTATTGTTGATTAGGTCCAATTCCGGATTAATGTATTCCTACTTGAACCATACGCAGGCAATCTTATTTATTGTTCCAGTCTCTGTAGTTATCATTTCCCAAGCACACAGAGAAACCTGTTAACATGGGGTGTATTTATACTGTAGAATTGATGTAGTTTTGCACCCTTTTAAATCCCATGGCTCAATGCTGTGGAATCCTTGGATATGTAGTTTGGTGCAAAACTAGCACTATTTGGCAGAGAAGGTTAAAAACTTTGCTAGACTAGAGCTCCCATGTTTTCCTAGCACTGACTCATGGCAAAGTGGTGTCAAACGGCATTCATTCTAACTGTGTAGATGCACCTAGGGGCCCCCTGATGGTGCAACAAGCTAAAATGCAGAGCTGCTGAACTTGCTGACCGAAAGGTAGGCGGTTAGGAATTGTGGGAGTTGAAGTCCAAAACACCTGGAGGGCCAAAGTTTGCCCATGCCTGGTCTAGATGCAGTTTAAGGCCAGATCTACAAGGCCTTATATCCCAGGATTTGATTTGAGATTATCTGTTTGGACTGGATTATATAAGGCTTCATCTACACTGCCATATAAAATCCAGATTATCTCCTTCATATTGCATGAATTCTATACTGTGGATCCATATTGCATGAATTCTATACTGTGGATCCATATTGCATGAATTCTATACTGTGGATCAATATTTCACAAATTATATACTGCAGATCTATATTGCATGAATTCTATACTGTGGATACATATTGCATGAATTCTATACTGTAGGTCCATATTGCATGAATTCTATACCGTGGATCCATATTGTATGAATTCTAGGCTGTGGATCCGTATTGAATGAATTCTATACTGTGGATCCATATTGCATGAATTCTATACTGTGGATCCGTATTGAATGAATTCTATACTGTAGGTCCATATTGCATGAATTCTATACTGTGGATCCATATTGAATGAATTCTATACTGAAGGTCCATGTTGCATGAATTCTATACTGTGGGTCCATATTGCATGAACTCTATACTGCGGATCCATATTGTACAAATTCTATATTGCAGATTCATATTGCATGAATTCTATACTGCAGACCTATTAAGCATGAATTCTATACAGTAGATACATATTGCATGAATTCTATACTGTGGATCCATATTGCATGAATTATATACTACAGATCCATATTGTACGAATTCTATACTGTAGATCCATATTGCATGAATTCTATACTGTGGATCCATATTGGATGAATTCTATACTGTGGATCCATATTGCATTAACTCTATACTGTAGATCAGAGGTTCTCAACCTGTGGGTCCCCAGATTTTTGGCCTTCAACTCCCAGAAATACCAGGCCAGGAGGAGATAAGGAAATTCTTGGATTAGGAAGCAAGAGGGGGAAGGAGATGGGTGGGAAGTTTAGTCCTCTTTGACACTGCCCTATATCCCAGGATATGATACCAGATTATCTTCTTATTCCATATTATATGGCGGTGTAGACTCATATAATCCAGTTCAAAGCAAATCACCTGGGGTCAGATCCTGGGATATAAGGACAGTGTAGATGGGGTCTCAGTGCAGAACAGTGGTTCTCAACCTGTGAGTCCCCAGATATTTTGGCCTTGAACTCCCAGAAATCCCAACAGCTGGTAAACTGGCTGGGATTTCTGGGAGTTGTAGGCCAAAGGGGACCCCCAGGTTGAGAGAACCACTGCTGTAGATGCCTTCAAGCTTCCCAGGTGTTTTCCTCTTACCCTGCGTTCTCAGCCAAGCATCTCCTCACCTCCTTGGCATCCCTTCACGACAACCTAGAGCGAACCCTCCAAAGCCCCGCCTTCGTCTCCAATTGGCCGCTCCGTGCTGCCAGTCAAGAGCCCAGAGGAGTGGCCAGGCCCCATCTGCGCAGGGCTGTCACAGGGCAGAAGGAAGGATCCCGTGCCCGAAGCGAGGAGGAAGGGGCTTCTGCTGCTGCTCAGGGCCGGCAGGTGGGAGCATCCTCCCATCCACCCATCCTCCCACCCTTCCTGGGCTCCATCCCTTCTCGTTCTCTCCCTCCTTGCAGACACCAGCCAGGTCTTCTATTCGGTCCGGATCCAAAGCGTGCGCGTCAACACCTCGCCCGGCAGCAGCCCGCCTCCCGCAGAGGAGCAGGAGGAGGAGGAGGAGAAGAAGAAGGGGAAGGCGAAGGAGAAGAAGGAGAAGAAGGAGAAGGGCGAGGAGGGCCGCCAAGGCACGCAGGGCAGCGCGCCGCCTCGCAAAGCCAAGTCCTCCCGCCGGGGGTCGGGGGCCAAAGGAGCGCGCGCTTCCTCCAGCGCGCCCCCGTCTTCCTCCTCGTCCTCGTCCTCCCTCCTCCCCGCCGCCGCTTCCTCTCCCAGCATGCCGGACAAGAAGTTCTTCGAGAACCTCTCCGGAGGGGGAAAGGCCATCGGGGTGCTCACCAGCGGAGGAGACGCGCAAGGTACGGACTCCCGCTCCCAGCAGGCCTGGCCACTGGGACAGCCGGCAAGGGCTTCTGGGGGTTGCAGTCCCGAACACCTGCAGGACCCAAGGCTGGGAGAGGGAGGGAAAGAGGAAAGGAAAGGAGAAAGGAAAGAGGATGAGAAAGGAGAAATAGAAGGGGAAAGGAAAGAGAAAAGAAGGGGGAAAGAGGAGRGGCAAGAGGAAAGAAAATGAAGGCCATGTAAAGGAAAGAGGAAAGGAAAGGGGAATGGAAGGGGAAAGGAAAARAAAGAGGAAATGAAAGGGGAAAGGAAAGAGGAGGGGAAAGGGAAAGGAAGAGGAAAGAGGAAATGAAAGAGGCAAGGAAAGGGAAAAGGAAGGGAAAGGAAAKGAAAGAGGAATAGAAAGAAGAAATAGAAGGGAAAAGGAAAGAGAAAAGAAGGGGAAAGAGGAAAAGAAAGAGAGGAAAGAAAATGAAGGGCAAGTAAAGGAAAGGAAAAGAGGCAAGGAAAGGGRGATGGAATGAAAGAGGAATAGAAAGAAGAAATAGAAGGGGAAAGGAAAGAGGAAAAGAAGGGGGAAAGAGGAAAAGAAAGAGGAGAGGAAAGAAAATGAAGGGCAAGTAAAGGAAAGAGGAAAAGAAAGAAGAAATAGAAGGGGGAAATAGAAAGAAGAAATAGAAGGAAGGAGGAAAGAGGAAAGGAAAGAGGAAAGAAAATGAAGGGCAAGTAAAGGAAAGGGGAAAAGAAAGGCAAGGAAAGGGAWGGAAAGGGAAAAGGAAGGAAAAAGAAATGAAAGAAGAAATGGAAGGGGAAAGGAAAGAGGAAAGGAAGGGGGAAAGAGTAAAAGAAAGAGGAAAGGAAGGGAAGAGAAAGGAAGGGGAAAAGCAAAGATTAAAGGGAAGGGGAAGGGAAGAGGAAAGGAAGGGAAGGGAAAGGGRAAAAGAAAGGGAAAGGGGAAAGGGAAGGAGGCAGTTTGACCTCACTTGAACCGTCTCCACGGCTCGCTCTATGCCTGCTCTAAGCCATGGGATTCAAAGTTTGGCGAGGGACCAGCACTCTTTGATCGAGAAGGCCAAAAACTACAACTCCCACAACTCCATCGCACTACACAGTTTGAAACATCTGCATCTATACCGTAGAATGAAGCGCCATGACTCGATGCTGTGGAGTCTTGGGAGTTGTAGTTTGCGAGGCCACCCGCCCTCTTTGGCCCAGAATATCATTACAACTCCTATGCGATTCCAACTCATTCAGTCTCTAACACAGCTATGGTGTTAAACCGCACTCATTCTACAGTGAAGAGCTGGACCAGAGGGATACAGTCCTTGCTGGTGTCCTCACCAAACTACAACTCCCAGCACTTTAGAGCATTCAGCCAAAGATCAAAATCGTCCCAAGCTGCATCCATTCTACAGTGTAGATCCTCTTGATCCAAGAGTTCGGATCTAACAGGCTTCTCGCTGGGGATGCCTGGCAGCTGAGACCGGAAAACAGTGCCGCTTCCGGGCTAAATAAGGCGAGTGTTGCCATCAGGAGGGAAGCCGGGAGGCTTTCTCTTTCAGCGGCAACGTGCGTGCTGGGGCGTGAGAGGCAGGCTCTCTTCCTTTTCCTCCTCCTCCTCTTCCCTCACATTCCCGGACGTGTGACCAGCCTTTGAAGCATGGCTCCCACCACTGGGCTCAGCTCGCTATTGTTTCAGAGAGAAGGAGAGCATCAAGCGATGGGAGCACAGCAGGGGAAAGAAAGGAAATGTATTGGAAGCTGCCCAGCTCCTTTTCTCTTCCTTTGGGCTGCATCTACACTGTGTAGTATATCAGTGCAGCCAGGCACCACTTTATCTGGCATGTCTCAATACAAGCAGCCCTCAAGTTAGGAACAAGATAGGTTTTGGAGGTTTGTTCTTAAGCTGAATTCGTAGGCAAGTCGGAACAGTTATGTTTTTAAGGGTGAATCCAGTCTCTTTCTCATGTGTATGTTTGTGTGTGTGTGTGTTCTCAAGTCCCCAGATATTTTGGCCTTCAACTCCCAGAAATCCTAACAGCTGGTAAACTGGCTGGGATTTCTGAGAGTTGTAGGCCAAAAACATCTGGGGACCCCAGGTTGAGAACCACTGATATAGGTAGGTAGGTAGATAGCTATAGGTCATGTCAGGAGAGACTTGAGAAACTGCAAGTCGCTTCTGGTGTGAGAGAATTGGCCGTCTGCAAGGATGTTGCCCAGGGCACGCCAGGATGTTTGATGTTTTACCACCCTTGCGGGAGGCTTCTCTCATGTCCCCGCATGGAGAGCTGGAGCTGATAGGGGGAACTCATCCCTGCTCTCCCTGGATTCGAACCTGCAACCTGCTGGTCTTCACGAGACCCCTAACAACCCAATGTATGTTCTCCACTCAATTTTTTGTCATTTGGGAGGTGTAGTTTCTGGGATTTGTAGTTCACCTACAATCTAAGAGCATTGTGAACCCCACCAACGATGGAATTGAACCAAACTTGGCACACAGTTCTCCTATGACCAGCAGAAAATTTGGAAGGTTTTGGTGGGCAGTGTCCTTTGGTTTTGGAGTTGCAGTTCACCTACATCCAGAGATCACTGTGGACTCAAACAAGGATGGATCTGGACCAAACTCTACACAAATACTCAATATGCCCAAATGTGAACACTGGTGGAGTTTGGGGAAAATAGAATCTTGACATTTGGGAGTTGTAGTTGCAGAGATTTATAGTTCGCCTACAATCAAAGAGCATTCTGAATCCCACCTATGATAGAATTGGGCCAAACCTCCCACGCAGAACCCCCATGTGGGCCACAGCAACGCATGGCAGGGGACAGCTAGATATGTGTGTGTGTGTATATACACATACACACACACATGTGTGTATATATATGTGTGTGTACACACACACACACACATATGGATGGGTTAAAAAGTTTTGCCTCCTGTGTCATAAAAACATTATGAATGAACCTATAACAGCAGAAGTTGCTACAGATCACAGCCTGAACTATCTTCTACACGAAACTACCATTCAACATAGTCACTGTCAATTTGTACACATTCGTGCCATCATTTAACCCAGGCATCAAAACCATTTGCTTTGTGACCCATGATTTGAAAGCAGTTTTAAGGCCATTCAAGTCATTGAATCTGAAACCATGTAGGTTGTCTTTCTGGGGTCCAAACCGCTCAAAGTCAGAAGGGGCCACAGGTGCACAACCTTCTTTTGCCAGAAATTCAATGATGACTCTTCAGATTCATGGTTCTAATCAGTTGATGGGAAAAAGAAAGACCGTATCAGTATAGTAAGGTCCCCTCTATCATACAATGCATAGATAGTCCAGTAGCTGGGAAAAAAAGAAAAGTTAGAGCCACAGAGGCATTACTTTTTGACTCACCCGTATGTGTGGGTGTGTAATGAATGTATGGAAGCTTTGGATAGCACAGGGAAGGGTTAGCACCCTTGTGGGGTTTGTGTTGCTGTCTGTGCCCCTGTTCAGAAGATTTCATCTCACTTCCTGTCCCTTGGATTTCGCTTGTTTTGGAATCCAAGATTGGAGAAAAAGCTTGAGTAGAGGCACCTTTTCCACACGATAATAACTCTTTCAGAAGTGAATTTCTCTTTCTAGAGGCAGCTTTCTCTCACTTCCTGTTGTCTCACCCCACCCCCTTCTTTGCCATGAGCTGTTTGTAAGTCAGATGTTTGTAACTTGGGGACTGTTTGTAACTATGGGATCGTGGCTGTTTAGTTTAAAAGGTCTTTCACCTTCTTTGCTGTTGCTTCACCATACTAAAACTCCCATTGCCTTGAACCATGGTAGTTCATTAATTCTACAGTGTCGATGTACCCCTAGAAGTACCCTTGAAAACAGCCTTATAATTAGCTCTGGGGTGCCAAACTGTAAACTACTCGGTTGCTGCAAGTTTTCTGGGATGTATGGCCATATTCCAGAAGCATTCTCTCCTGACGTTTCACCCACATCTATGGCAAGCATTCTCAGAGATTGTAAACTCCTTATTCCTGATTCATCCAAGAGTGTAGAATCATAGAGTTGGAAGAGACCTCATAGGCCATCCAGTCCAACCCCCTGCCAAGAAGCAGAAATATTGCATTCAAAGCACCCCCGACAGATAGCTATCCAGCCTCTGTTTAAAAGCTTCCAAAGAAGGAGCCTCCACCACACTCCAGGGCAGAGAGTTCCACTGCTGAATGGCTCTCACAGTCAGGAAGTTCTTCCTCATGTTCAGATGGAATCTCCTTTCTTGTAGTTTGAAGCCGTTGTTTCGCGTCCTAGTCTTCAGGGAAGCAGAAAACAAGTTTGCTCCCTCCTCCCTGTGACTTCCTCTCACATATTTATACATGGCTGTCATATCTCCTCTCAGCCTTCTCTTCTTCAGGCTAAACATGCCCAGCTCCTTAAGCTTCTCCTCATAGGGCTTGTTCTCCAGACCCTTTTAGTCACCCTCCTCTGGACACATTCCAGCTTGTCAATATCTCACGTGGTTTGATGTGGTTTGATACCACTTCAATAGCTCTGATTCAGTGCTATGAAATCATGGGAGTTGTAGTTTGGTGAGGCACCAGCACTCTACAGCAGGGAAGGCTAAAGACACGCAAACTACAACTCTGAGGAATCCATAATAATGAGCTATGACAGTTAAAGTGTCCAGGTACAGTAGTACAAACCCATGAGATACAGAAACAGTGCAGGTGGGGAGAGGATGCTTTTCTATGATTTCAAAGCAACATTTTGGGTTGATTCACATCCACAGTCTTGCTTTGGCTTTCCCATTTTTTTATAAATCCCCATAGGTGCCTTTCCAAAGGAGCTTCCACTTTAACCCTGTGAGGCACTTGGGCACTTTGAACCCAGGTGTATACTTCACCCATACCTTAATTGTATCAGGGTCAAACTCAGGGATGAACCCAGGTAGGAGGCACCTGTAGCAGTGCCATGTGTTGGATGTACTGTGATGACGCTCATACCTACTGCTGCCTCTCATTCCTAACTTCCCTTAGAG